ACAGCCACTCTAGATTTAACAGTTTCAAGTGATGAGAGATTCCACCACATCCTGAGGTAGTTATTATTGGTCTTATTATAGTGCCTAAAAGCCCTGGGCAACAAATTAAGGCGCCATAGTGCCAAGCACTGAACAAAGACAGTCTCTGCTCCCAAATCTTACATTCTCGTGACAAGACAAAAAACAACTGGGGAATACAAGGCAATAGTGAGGCAATATTTGTCAATGTGATAGAGAGTGGTCTCAGCATACCACCAGCCAAACATTGTCAAGTATTTTGTAGGCATCATGGGAGGGCAGAATTTTAAAGAGGCATTTAAAGGAAAACAATGAGGTTGCTTTGTAGGTGGTTATGAAGCTGTCCTGCCAACTGGAAGTCATGGTATGTGAGAGAGCAAAGAGGTACTGGCTTGGAAATTTAACAGGTGGGTGATAGATGCTGGTATCATGAGCCAGCTGGAGGTGGGAGCTGACTCTTTTATTTTGAATGAAAGAGTACATGAAGGGTGGGAATAGGTGGCTTTGAAAGTGAACACAAGTGGCTTCAGTTTGATACAATAGACAAGAAAGAGCCAGTGGAAGGATGCAAGGACAGGGATGACATGAATGAAGTGATGGGCTAGGGAACTTATCTCTGCAACACCACTCTGTATGGATATATATGGGGCAAAATTGAATTCAGCAAGGCAGAAGAAAAAGATGATACAATTAGCAAGGCATGAGAAAACTTAAACATAGCTTGGATGTGAAGACCTAGAGAGTCCTGAGTCCAAGCAGCCACCCAGTTTATAGCGTGATTGAGGTAGACTAGTGATTCATCATCATGGTCGTGGTGGCTGAATTTGCCTTTGTGTATATGACTTCCCAGAGAAAGGGGATAGAGAGAGAAGAGAAGGGAACAAAGGATAGGACTTGAGGAACTGACATGGAAAGTGGGAGATATGCTTTCCCAAAAATTAATTCTTTCACTTAAAATTTTGCAGTTTATTTCCAGTTTGATTTTCAGTATAGCTGGCCCCATGTTTTCAAAATTAAGGAATTAGGTGCTAAAATAATGAATTTAAAAAAAATGAATGAAGTGGGTTTTTTTCTCTTCTGCAATTGGAGCGTTTAGGGATCAAATTTTGAAGCTTTTCTCTGCAGCTGTGAGGTCTAGAAGCTTTCTAAAAAAGCTTCTTAAGTAATAAGATGATTTCAGAATTTGGCTTGGAGAAAATCTCAGTATTGTAGAATCTGCATTATTGCCGATACTACGTTTTGTATATCTTCAACTGCCAACTATTGAATCATATTACTCCTCTTTGCCTGATTAGAGAGTCCTTTTCCATCAGAAATCTCTACCCCATATTGGTACAATTAGATTGCCATTAAGTCACTCATAACAACTTTCTCTTGAATAAATTAAATAGATTGAGTCAATTTAGTCTCAATAGTTTGAGTGTCTTATTTCTGTCACTTTGAGGCAGCTTTTCCAGATCTCAGATCATTCCTGGAGCTCTTTGCTGGACCCTTTCCAATATTTCAACATCTGTTGTTAAATGTGACATTAGAACTGTTCACAATATTTCAGTAATGGTTTCACTGATGCCTTATTCAGAGGTTCTAGAACCTCACAACCCCTCCTTGATATTCTTTTGCTTACATGTCCAAGGGTCTCATTTGTACTGTGAGCTATTGCAATGCCCTGAGAGCTCATGTTCAATTGGTTATTTATCATTACCCCTAAGACTTTTTCAGAGTTACATATTTTCAGGATACATCTGTGTCTGGTTATGAGTGTAACCTACTTTTTTTTTCAGTGAACAACCTTGCATTTGGCTGTTTTTAAACCACATGTTGTTCAAATAGCCCATACAGCTTTGTCTGTATAACTGACCTGTCCCTCTCATTATTTACCACTCCACTAATGTTTGCGACATATCCAGATTTTACCAGCAATGATTTTATATTTTCTTCCCAATCTTTGATAAAGATATTGAATGGCATTGGACCAAGGACAGATCCCTGTGGTACACAATAGCAGGGTATATCCATGACACACTGGTACAGCAGGGGTTATAATTGCACTCTGTGAGCTGAGGAGGACACAGCCCTCTGCCCCTATTGGGCATGCTCAGCCGGGCGACAGGATATAAAAGCAAGCAGCTCTGTTTGATTTGGATCAACTGCTGAGGAGGAAAGATGCATATTACAGGCTCCCTTCCAGGTGCTGCTGAATTCTAAGGCCAGACATGCTGAGTCCCAGACAGATCTGCAGCTGCCTATGGACGCTAGAGAGGGGTTTTCACTGGTTGATGATCCCAGAGACCAGGGGAACCGTGGGCTACTGCACTGGAAGTAGGCCAAGGGAAAAAAGACATTGATCTAGTTGTAGATTGGGAAACAAGCCCGGGTGTTTCTGCAGATCCTCATTGACCAAGTGGTGAATAGAGTCATCACTGGCACCCAGTAGAGTAGGAAGGGCCTGGTTCCTCTAACTTGGCCATCCTGTTCCTTGGGCCACTAGGCCCTGAAGCTCCACACAGGAGGGCAGCCATAGTGACTGCGGCTGCTAGGACTTGCAGCCCCACTTAATGGAGTAGCTATAATGACTCTGGTCACTGGGCTGCATTGCCCTGAGACTAAGGACAACCCCTAGACCATACTATCCTGCTTTATAGGTGGGTCCATCAGTATAGGCTTTAGCAGCTGAGGTATGTCCTTTCATTTACCACATGTGATCTGACACCCCGTGACAGGGTGTGTCTACCCCACAATATATCCCACTACAAATACCTCCAATTGACGATGATTCTCTGTTTACAAATTACTTTTTTCAGAGTAATTAACCAGTTTTAAAATCCATTTAATATGGGTTACATTGACTTGATATAGTGCCATTTTTTTTAATCACAATGTCATGCAGGACCAAGTTAAATGTCTTACAGAAATCTTAGTATATCATTACAACAGTTACCTTTCTCCAATTCTTTTAATACTCTAGGGTGCAAGCTATTTGATTCTGCAGATTTAAAACAGCTTAACTTTAATAGATGCTGTTTAACATCCTGATTACTGATGGAATAGAAAGTATTTAATTATCACTGTTAGAAATGAATACATCATCATGCTTCTTTCTGAATACAGAATAGAAATATTCATCAAATAGTTTTACCTTTTTTACATCATTATTGAGAAGTAGATCATCCGTGTTTTATATCAGACCTATACCATTAATAGAACTTTGATTTTCTTACATATTCAAAAACTTCCTCCTTCTCGTCCTTAACTCTATTGGTCATAGATTTTTCCTGGGTACCTTTTAGCTTCCATTATCAATTGTCTGCATTTTTGCTGCTTGTTTCTACTCATTGCGGTCAGTTTCCCCATTTTTTTCTGTTTGTTACATATTGACTTTTTGTTGCTGCTTTTACCATCAGTCTTAGTCAAAAACCAACCAACCAACCAAAAATCCTCCATCAACAAATTCTTTATTTTATGATTGCAGAATTGCGTTTTATAGACATCTAATTCTCAATAATCATTCAGAAATTTCTGTTTAGATATTTCCTTCCACTCATAATTGTGTTAAGCTATGGCAAACTAACCTTTTAAAAGCACGACGTGTATATACATACCGTATATACTTGATCAAAAGCCAAATTTTTGGGTTGGCTTATGATTGGCTCATTGTACTTCACGTTTTTTTTTCAACTTGGGGAAATGGTTGGCAAACATCAACTCCCAGCACAGCAGGGCAAAATGCTGGCGTGCTGGGATGTTTTATATATGCAGAGCGTCTGCAGGTATGGAGTCTGTCAGCTCCCAGTTGCTGCCGTTTGCTGGTCTGGGTCAATGGGAGTGGTGGGAAGTGGCAGTCAGCATGTGTCTTGGCTCCAGCTGCTTCCTCAGCTTCCATTGGCTAGAAACAGTGAACAGCAGCCAATGAAAGCTGAAAGGCTCTGTGCCTGCATTCAGCACTCCCTCAGCCTGTGTTGATGATGATGAGCTGGGACTGGAAATTTGTCATAGAGTTGGCTTATAAACAGGTCATTGATTTTTTAACATTTTTTTCTGTAAGTTGGGGGGATAACTTATGAATGAATGGGCTTATGTTCAAGTATATATGACATATTACTAAATATTATTCTAAAGTAGCTAATTAAATGTTATGTAGTGTTCCATCCTGCCTGCTTTTTACCCACTGTCTCTTTCCTAATTAGAGTGTAGCCCATGATTTTAACTTTCCAGTTTGACTCATTCCTCAAGCATTTTGACAGAGATACAAAGTTGAGACCATTTTCTTGTGTGCAGTTCAAAAGTCCTGAATTCAGGTCTTGCATACATCCTTTCAAAATACCGTTTTAATTTTGAAAAAGGTGTTCCTCTAAAAACATGTGTACAACTACTTGCACACAGGAGTAGAGATGTGTCCATGTCATAACATCTGGCTTTGAGTTCTGGTTCATGATCATATGCACTAGAGTTGGAGTACCTCCTTTATGAACATGGTTAAATTTGCCACCCCAAACTATAAATAGGCCTAACTTCACTCAAAATTCAGCCCAAGTCACTTCAGAACTTATCACAATTTTGTGAAAATGTACAGCAAATGTGGATTAGTAAGAAATCACCGAATCCAGAAAGATTCCACATGTGCAATTTTCACATAGCCAAGAAGTGGATACAGTGGCGTTTGTGTAATTTGACAGCAAGACATATGCTTGATTGGACACAAAAAGTATTAAGTTCACTTATCTCTGTGGAGGCTGGGGAAATAAATTAACATTCACAGTCAGTTCTAACTTCTTTGATAGCCAAAATAAAGGGAAATCCAGATGACATATATTATGCTAAAAAAACTAAATTAAAAAGTTAATGCTTAAGAAGTAGGACAGTGGGACCTTTGCAGTGGGACCTTGTCTGAAACAGAGCTGAAATGGCCCAAAATTGATTTTAGTGCCCCTTGGAACTTCTTTCATTTTAATGCTCCTAATTTGTGGATGAATGTTTTGTTTCAGAAAATGTGAAAGAAGGAAAAAAATTGACTACAGAAGATGTGACAGGTTTAGTTATATTTGAGGATACAGAGAAGATCAAAGCCGAAGAGATAAAAGCAGCAACTACTGAATGGACTGAAAATATCTTCTGAATCATAAACACCCTTAAGTTCAGTGCTTCAGAAATAGCCACCTTTCAGTCAGGAGAGAGTCACCGCTGAAATGGAAGTCCTCTAGTTACAGTATTTTATGGCTTGCTTTGCTGCCCCTGGCTAGCCCTGCATTTACACAGGCACCGAAATGTCTGAGATCATTCACAAAAAATAAAACCAACAGTAACACAAACATTTCTACCTTGGTCAGGGGCTTTGAAACAGCCCCCCCATGAGCAGCATTGCTTGTGATTGCTTTGCAGAGATAGCAGTTGACTGTGGGCCAATAAAAATCAGTCTTTATCAGCAAATATAATTGGAACCCCTGCTGTGGTAACCACTCTGTCACACTTTTCATTAGCTGGGAACATTTTATTTGGGAGGAGTGAATTTCCTTTCCTCACAAATTTTAATGGTAACATATGATCCATTACTAATGAAACGTATCAAACCGAGAGGTCTTTCTGAATGCTTACATATAAAGAGAGTAAGCTGCAGTGACATGGTGCCAACCTTTTAACAAAACTCTCTCAAAATTCTGTGGCCTCAGTCAAACATTTCCTCTGTGTCCCCTCTCCCCCAGTAAAGCAGTTTTATATTCTATTCTGCCCTAAAGCCAACAGTTCTATACTCTCCCTTAAAACAATCTTCCCATTGTTCACAGCCCCCTCTGATTCCATTAATTCCCTCCTCCACAATCCAGTACCCTTGATGTATTCTTTCCCAATTCCTAACTTCTTTAGTAAGCTTCCTTTCCCACAGCAGGGCTACGTCTAGACTGGCATGATTTTCCGGAAATGCTTTTAACAGAAAAGTTTTCCGTTAAAAGCATTTTCGGAAAAGAGCGTCTAGATTGGCACGGACGCTTTTCCGCAAAAGCACTTTTTGCGGAAAAGCGCCTGTGCCAATCTAGATAAGCTTTTGCGCAAAAAAGCCCCGATCGCCATTTTAGCCATCGGGGCTTTTTTGCGCAAAACAGTACTGTGCTGTCTACACTGGCCCTCTTGCGCAAATGATTTGTGAAAGAGGGCTTTTGCCCAAATGGGAGCAGCATAGTATTTCCGCAAGAACACTGACAATCTTACATGAGATCGTCAGTGTTCTTGCGGAAATTCAAGCGGCCAGTGTAGACAGCTGGCAAGTTTTTCCGCAAAAGCAGCTGATTTTGTGGAAAAACTGCCCAGTCTAGACACAGCCCAGCAGTAGTCAGGTCAGCATGTGATCTCTGGCTGGGGCATGGATGGCTGGTGTGAATGTGCATAGACAAGTGAAGATGCTGTGTGGAGGGAGTTTTATGTGGGTGTTGTTGAAGGGTCCTTGGGAGGAAATGGGATCCATAGTTTTCCCCAATATTGACTCTTCAGAAACCAGTTGGGAGAGAACCAGGCTGTGTAAGCTGAGATTGCAGAAGTCTGGTCCCATGTTCTCTTCCTCCTGTGTTGTTGCAGCTACTACTGCCCTGCTGCCAGAGTCTTTTTAACCAGTGGAACTACCTTTCATTTTCATTGGAAAATTAGGGCAGCAGGACAGAAAAAGAGCAGTGTAAATTAGAGAGGCGCTGGTTGCACTGAACATAGAACCGTGGAGGGTGCAAACCTGCATCTAGACTGCTGCCGCGTTCTTTCGAAAGTAAATTGAAAGAATGTGGCAGTTTTTTTGACAGTGGAAAAACTCATTTTATGCTTAAGAACCTGCATCTAGACTGCTGCCGCGTTCTTTCGAAAGTAAATTGAAAGAAAACTGTGCTTTTTCGAAAGAGAGCATCCAGACTGCCTGGGTGCTCTCTTTCGAAAAAGTGGCTTGCTTTTTCAAAAGTACTGGTTGTAGTCTAGACACTCTTTTTCGAAAGAGGCTTTTTTGAAAGTATCTTTCAAAAAAGCTTCTTTTGAAAGTGGCTTGCAGTCTAGACGTAGCCTAAGTGTGCAGTGGAGCTATATTCTTAAAATCCATTCTACTGTATAAAAGACATCTTCTTAATCAAGAGAATTACTCCATTCAGAGTGCTTGTCCACAAAAACAAATAGGTATTACGGAATGAATAGTAATGGGAAAGAAAGCTGAATTATATTTTTTCTCATGTATCATCAAGAGAATTGTTAACTACATTTGATTTCAGGGCTAAATTCTGCCCCCTGTTAATAGTGTGCAATTCCACTGAAATGACTGAACAGATTAGAGTAACTGAGGGTATAAATAGAAAAATGCACAAGCTAAAACTGAGGACAGAATTTGGCATGCAGAATCTATATAATTGCTGGTAAATCTTTATAACTGTTGGTAAAGTGTGAGAAGAAAAGAACTCAGCTTTACTTTCAGCTCCCAAGGTAATTTCCCAGGGCTGGCAATTAGAAATAGTATTTTGATCTCTGTGGAATAACTACAAATCCTAGTTATTCTACCTGGATAAAATTATTTTCTTTCACTGGATAATTTTATCTTCGTGAAACTAGCTAATCCCTTTACTTACACAATGGTAATATGGACAAAAGTTGCTAAAATTCTTGAATACTTATTTTCCCTGCCCCCTTCACTCTAGCTCTATGACGGTCTGCTATTTCCTCCAGGAGTTTGCCTCGCTGTGTGTGAAGTGTGGGATATTTTTGCTTTTACCAGATTTAATCAATTGCTTGATAGAAATGGGTAGATATAGTCATTTGATAAAGGACAGAGTATAATTACACAGACATATCAATACTTTCCAAAGTCAGACATTTTACATTATCATAATACTTTAACGATCAGTGCATATCACACTTCAAAGCAGTATTTCTAACATAACAAACAGAAGCAGATTATCTATAATCCAGGCAGTACTTTAACAAGTGCTATGAGAATCAAACCTTCATAGGCTCTCTGGGGCAATCCCTCTGAAGTATTAGGAGAGGGTCTCTCTTTCTTCTTGCCAGACCAGTCAGAAGCAAGTGCAGGAAGGCTTGAGCTGTGCACTCAAATCTCAGAAAAGCATATCAGTTCTACAGTGGGTATCAGTCCTACAGTGGATATATTTCCAAGCCCATCCTCCTACAAAGAATGCCCTTTCAGAAATAAATCTAGATATCTTGTCAGCCTTGGAGAAGGAGATAAGACAAAGTCCAGCATTTTAGGTCTTAGAGTGAGTGCCAACAGATAATTCCAAGGGATGGCTAAGCTGTATATATTCCATTCCCAAGTCTACTGGGGTATACTGTCCAGTTTTAAATCTAAAGCCCTTAAACCTCTTTATGACTACCCAGCTGTTTTTCAGGGTAAGGCTCAAAGCCATGGTTTACAATGGGGAGTTTCCAGCAAAAACTAGATCTGAGCAAAGCCTTTGGTATCTTGGATACAGGGATATGCTATGGGAGATTCCTAAGGAGCTGTACGAGCTACAGATTCCCTGGAAAGCAATACTATACAGTGACAGGGATTGGGAATGAAGCCTGTGATTTGCTCCAAAGGTTTTCACCTCCATTTTGAGATCCATTCTTCATGTCCAAAAATCTGGGAGCAAAAATGATTGTTTATTTAACTGTCTTGACTTCATCATAATTAGAAGTGTTCCTAATGTTCTCATGCCATCCAGTAAGTGTGCTCGGCTTTCTAGTAAAATCTAGAAAATGCTATATTAAAGCTGTAATGTGGTCTGCTGTTTCCTGAGTACCTCTCGTGGTCATAGGTCATTCTGCAGGATCCCCCTGTGCAGGGCCCTTAAAAGACTTACTCAATTCAAAGGTAGTTCAGAGTCCCTATAGCAGAGAGGTCACCCTGTTCTGGTGAAATAAGTGATAAACCCAGCCCTGGGAGAGGCTTAGGACCATAGGCCAATCAGAAGAGGGCTAGAGACAGCCCATCAGAGCCCTTATGGGTCCTATAAGAAGGGCTCCTGGAGAGGAGAACCACACACACTCTTGTTACAGCTCTAGAGTAGGAAGGATCCAGCTACTTGGGTAGGCTAGAGAGGGTACTTGAGACAGAGCATTGTTGGGAAAGGGCAGGTAGAGTGGGGGAGAGCAGGGGCCTGAGGAGGTGCTAGGGCTACAGGGAGGCAGCCAGGAAAGGAGAGGGCAGCAGGTCCACACTCCCTTGCCATAAGTGGCCATTTTAGGCTGCAGTTTGCCCCAGAGGCAGGGGCTAGATGATGACTGGTAGTGGGTCACTGACCCAAGGTGTGTATATGGGCTTGGGGTTCTCTGTGAGGGGAGGGTCCTAGAATGTGGGGGCACTGTCATGGAGCAGTACTGCAAGCAAAGGGGTGCACCATAGGCTGGGAGGGACGCAGGGCCTGAAGTAGCACAGAAGATGGCAGGTAACTGAGAGTGAGACACCAGCCAACAGGGGGCACTCCATGGCTGGAAGAGATCATTCCTGGATAAAACAGCAGAAGGCACTGCAGTGGTGAGTGCTCAAACCCTACCAGTCCACTGCGGGGGTTCAATTCATTGAATCCTCAGGTGCATATTGACTCTCTAGAGCTCAGCCCCTGTTCAGCTCTTGCTCCTGATAATCCAAGAGTCTTTCAAAGACAAAACACAAATTCACACAGACTTCATGCCAGTTTCAGCTGGACACAGTCCTGTCTCCCTGAATGACTGTACAGCTTTCCAGCACCTCCTTCCTGGACTTTATTTTTTCTCCACGGAGCTTTGTCTCCAGCTGGGACAGAGTCTCTCCCAAGCTTCGCTGCCTGGAGAGCTGTTCTCACTCTCTGCCACTTCTTGGGCCTTTTCCCTTGCAAACTCCTTCTTATACCCTGCAATGTTTCTACAGCTGCAGTTTCACTGAAACTTCCTGCTCCTTTTGAAGAGGAACTGGGTGAATCCCGAGTGGGAGGAGCTCAACCGGTAAAGATGGTTTAGCCTCCAGCTCTCTAGCATATAGAGCAAGCCAACCTGTTACAAACACCTTCACCAAGAATCAGATTCTAACCACTAGCCACATGTAGCTATCTGGCTGGTTGAGTGTGGCTATCTGGCTGGCTGAGTGTGGCTAGTTCACTATAGTAGTTGCCACTATAGTGGCTACTGATTCAGAACTGGTTGGACACCATTTACTGGGATTCACAATGGATTCTGGGGACTTGATTCTAAACTTTCACAATGCCCAGGCCAAAAGAAGTGGAAAAAAATATAACAAGATCTGATGCATGATATTCCTCTTCTCACCGAGGTGCCGTGTGTTTTATGATACA